AAAAATTTTTGGGAAAAATGTTTTTTGGAAAAAAATTTGGTGACCGAAGTTCTAATACCCGCATAGGCACATGCATTTCTTATATTGAATGTGCTATTGAAAAATGCATATGAATGAATTATGGGCGCGACATCTATCGCATATGTAGTAAACTTTGTAGCTATCTAGCTTTGTAAACCGTTTAAATTTTGGTCAAAAAATTTTTTTTCTCAAAAAAATTTTGGTCTAAAAAATTTTGGAAAAAAAATTTTTTCTCAAAAAAATTTTGGTCAAAAAAATTTTGGTTTTTTATACGATATGTAATCTCTACATATCATAAGTTTCTTTACGTTGTTTATTTCCATCACACACAGAATACACTGAACTCCCACAGACCCCCATACCGCCTACACGCATAATATTATTTATTATTATTATCTTATACGTATAATTTTACTTAAACAACTTTAAAATTTGTACCGAGAATAGAACCCGGTCCCTCTGCGTGGCGGGCAGCGGCTTTAACCACTGGACCATCGTGGTGCTCAGAAAAGACCGGTCGTCTTTTTTCGTGTGTCGTCGCGTCACCTCACCTTAATAAACAGAGCGTTTCTTAATATATAATTAATTCGACCACGGATTTTCAAACTAAAATTAAAATTTACGAATCGATAAAAACTCGAATTCTAACCATGTTAATTGGAAGATAAAATTGGGTCAGTATGGGAATACTATTCTTCTAAATAGTTTAGTTTATTTTGATATCATACAGCATAGATTTATTTTTATAATATATATTTATATATTTATAGATACATATACTAATATTTCACAATGGTACGACTTTTATAAACTTTAAGTGGAATTTTAACATCTATTTCATTGTTTTCAATGTGGAATTTGTTAGGTTTAATGATTAATTTAACTATTTAGTCGGCCTTTCCAAAATTTTCTGCCACTCTAGCAAATTTTTACGTAAATTTCTTATTGTTAGTGCCAATTAGTTTGTTATAATACATTATGCTGAATCAAATCGAATCCAATATTTGCTTTAATAAACAAAGTTATAATTTTAATAATAAATCAAAGAATATTATAAATGAAAATCTTTCCAAAAGTTGTATCTATTAAAATCAATTTATAGTATAGACATAATTCTAGTACTGGAACTAAAGCAACTACTCGATTGCCAGAAGAACAGTTGTTCGTGCCAATAATGATTGAAAATAATGATTATTACTAATTCGGAATTTTCATTGGATGTGAGTCCATTTACTTTTCTATAAATGGAAAATACATTCTCAATACTATTATATTGTTCTTAAGTCCTCCAAAACTGAAGACATTATTTTGTTTATGATTCTGCTCTCAAGAAACTATTATTTATGTACTATTTATACTATTGCACGACAAGTGTTTACTTCACAAATTTTCTGTACATTATATAAAACTTAAAATAGTTGTATTACTCAGTATGTCAATTAACTTCTAAATCGACTTTTATATAAAACGAGGCCACAAAATTCACTAAGGCCAAGTAAAATTCAGGCCCAAAAAGTATATATAGTTCAAAATCATTTTATATCCATAAATTTGTCTTACATTTCTTATATTTACACTACATATATGATTAATAAATTATTAAATAGCTATATGTTTTTAAAACTCAGAGATATTATGATGGTACATGAGTGAATAATTTTAATTTAATTACATATCGTGAAAGGTTGTATTGAAACATATTTACATATTTTATTTATTTCAAAAAGAAATATATTCTTATAGAGTTCTAAATTGCGTATTTTTCAGCTTTTTATTACGGTAATAAGTAAATCAGAAACAGTCTTTTAATCATTCTAACAAGTATAATATCAGATATACACTTTTAAACATTATATTCTACACAGCTATACATTAATGTATTTATGCATCAACCAAAAATTAAAACTATACGCACTTTACATACTTAAGAAAAGTATATTGAATTAAAAGAAAGTTTTCTTACCAAAAGGTAATGATACAATGATTTCTCAAAATTATATACAATAAAATTATTATTTTCAGTATCGTGTCAATTCTTATTATCACTGAATCAGTCAATATAATTTGTAGTATATATATATACTACAAAGTTGCTCTTTTATATTGGTTTATAAGTTTGATACTATGATCAGATTTGGCAAAGAAATTATAGTAATATAATTCTGTCGTATTCTCAATGTAAAAATTGGCTATAATAACTACTAAAATAAGCAGCTTTTATAGTTTGTTCAAATAAAACAATTGTAATAGCAATTGAATAAAATACAATGATTTCAGGAGAATTCGAATTGAATATGCCAAATAATATAGATTGTATCTGAATTCCATATCACTTACCATTCTGATTTGATGCTATATGGAGTCTTAATTAAATACTAGTATATTCAATTAAAATTATATATGTATATATGTAGTAATCTGATAATTCAATAACTTTTTTTAGCACGTGAACTAAAACTCAAATACCCACGAAATTTGCATCACCATTTATTAAAAAAAGATCACATAGTATCAGATTTTATAAATTTAATTTATTTAATTTTATTCACATCATAATTGCTCAATTTTAGAAAAAAATTTATTATGATTGATTTTTTTTGTTTATTATCTGTTTTAAATTATTTATCAATTAGTATTCTACAATTTTTAAACATTTAAGATGATACAATGATCAATCGATACAAATTTCTCGTTGCACACATTAATATATTCTTCTTCTATCACAATTATATCTTAATACCTGATTCTTTAAATGTTTTAAAACAATGTTTCAACACCAGGCCTGTCCATTCTGTTAGGATTCGCAATGCTATTCGCATTGTCGTCGGGTAGTCCCGCCTGCATGCCAGCTAATGACCGCACCTGGAGCAGCAGTCCGCCTCCGAGCAGTCGCGCTTGGTGTTCTTGCGCTTTGGCTCGTAGGCAGGCGATCGAGTTATTCCTGTAGAAAAAATGCCTGTGCGATTTTATAACGGCAAGTTCGAGGAATGTAGTATGTGCATGCGTACAACATTATTTTACATCTCTATTGCATTTGTAGTAGTATATACTAGGGTTTGTCGGTTTTCAAAAACCGGTTTTAAAAAATGGTTTTTTGGCAAATATTATGGAATTCGAAAACCGTTTTTTTAGTGAAAAAGTCGGTTTTCACTTTATAAATGGAAAATGACAAATATAGCCAAATATAAAAGATAGATGAAAGCGTTTTGATTCTTGAAATCATATCGTTTCAATAGCATTTGATATCTTATCAATCTGCAATGGTTCCCAGTAAGGTTTTGTACATAATAATTTAGATTTTTATACCAGTGTATATATTAATTTAAATCAGTGTGACTTCTTCTTGAAGAAGTAACTTCCTCTACTCAAACCTACAAAAAAGATTTTTAAACCCTAGAAGCCACAAATTAAAGAACAAAAAACTTAGAATTATTATAGCAGGCTTTAAAAACAATTAAGCATAATTTGGTCGCAAGTATGAGAGTATTTTCTATTTTAGGAAATTTTGTGAGTAAACAAAGGACACGTCTGAGTAGCAATTCGATAGACGTTCTCAGTTTTTTGAAATCATATTTTATTAAACAAAAAAAAAACAATTAGAATGTTTGAAATTAATTAAAATTGCTCGGAACAGACAACAGACAACACCCGAGTTTAGCTTAATTGTTTTTAAAACTAAAATTGATATTAACAAGTATGTATCAGCATGTGTCTAAATTTTTTTTTTTAATTCAATGAATGTTTTTTATTTAAAAATGTATTATTTTAATTTATCCGAAATAAATATCCGAAAAATTTCCTTTCACTATCATAAAAATATTTTCATTCTATATGTGAAAATGATGCATGGAATAACGAACAATTATTTTTCAAAGTTATTTAATCAAGATAAACTATTATTTTTTAGTTCTACTAATTAAATTAAAATAATTTTTTTACTATCTATAAAATTAATAATAAATAAATTCAGTCAAATACTGCTCTAAATTACACTAAATTTGCGGATAAATTACAGTATATTCGAGCAAAAATTTATTTTTTTATATAAAATTCGAAAACCGGTTTTCTGAAATGTCGGCTTTTGTATAAACCATAGTATACTAATTTTATGTTAGTATGTTGAATGTATTAGTAATGCAATTAATGCTAACTGTATAATATTTAGTGCATTTAAATTAGTAGCAAATCTTTGGCATTTATTGAGTCTATATCAGTTGTCTTCTTATTGACAATCACTGTAATTTTATTTTTCTTAAATTGAAACAGGTATTTTTATATATTATTTTACCTTCCCGTAGGGTAGTTATAGTAATGGGCCGAAAATCGAAAACTAAAATAAATATGCTGAAAAATAAAAATGGTCAACAATGGACGAAAAATTTGTTAGTTTTTTTAATTTTTCACAGGCTTCCCGGGCACGTAGAAGCTTCAATTAAACGTCGGGTGAATTGTCTTGTGGGCTAGAATAACGTGAAAAAAAAGGCATTTTAATATTCTCAACGGTTGCCGAATAAATAAGAAAAAATTGAAATCATACCATGACCCTAGGGTCATGAATTGTGTTCCGATGAGGGGGAAAAAAATTGCGTCCGATTTCGATGGCTTTCGCACCGTAGGTGCCTTGTGACCTCAGGAAAATGCCATTAAAAAATTTCGATCACACTTCCAATAGTTTTCGAGAAAAACGCATTTTTAATATTTCGATAGAATTTAAAAAAAATGGTTTTTTGCAAATATCTCGGAAACGGTTGAAGCTATCACAAAAATTTTTGCACCAGATGATACATATTTTAAATACGCATATTTCATTCATATACGTCATGATCCTATGTTGAATATTTTCCAAGATATAGGCGTTTAACTATTTCAAACTTAAAAATTTGAAACGGTTTTTGGCGTATATCTCGCGAACGGTAAGAGGCATCTCAAAACTTTTTATACTGGGTTAAAGATCTTTTGATTTAGAATATTTCGACTGGGAACATCAATATCCTATGATGAATCGTTCAGAAGTTATGAGCGTTTAAAGATTTCATGAGTAAAAAATGCTCAAAAATGGACGAAAAATTTGTTAGTTATTTAATTTTTCACATATTTATAATATAAAATTATCTAAATAATTAAAATAGAGCACTGAAAGAAGTTGATTTTTGAAATTTTTAAAACTTTTAAAAGCAATTGACTTTTTTGAAAAATTTATTTTTGTTATACTTTGAAATATTATGGAAACCCATAGAAAAGTAAACAAAATTTGTTCTCATTATTAAAATATCTATAAAATATGTAAGTGTTTAATGTGCATTTGAATAATTATCATTTTTGTCTGCTAAGTGGTATTTTTTTCACTTTTTTATTGGATCTCTCTGAAAACGCTAGACCTGCTTTCCCAAAAATTTAATCAGTTCTTCATTTCGTCAATACAAATAAAATGTTTTTTGAATCATCCAAATCAGACGCTCGATTCTCTCAAAAATTGAATTATCGTTTTTGGCAGTTTTTTCCGTAGCTTCAGAATAACTTAACCTGCCTTTGAAAAAAAATTCATTAGCACATCTCCCTATCAAATTCAAATCGGTTGATCCGTGTGCTCGAAAACGTGAAGGAAAAAATACGGACCCACAAAACACACACACACATCCATTTTTTCTGAGGTATGCCAAAATGTTCAGAAGCGTGAAGATATGCAAAAATTTTCATTACTATAACTACCCTACGGCAAGTTAAAAGATAATCTCAAAAGGTAACAAATTGACTTATAAAATTATCAATGATCAGGAAGCAAACAACTGACGATGGAACTGTTCAAGTGTTCATGAAGCTAAAGAACACTTAATATTTTTCAATTTGAGGAATAACTTCGGAGAATTGTATTTAACTATTATTTCTTTGTATTTAACAAAAATAACGCTCTGAATTAATCTGATACTTGCGCAGACACGACTTAAGCCGCCAGTTTTTTCAATTGTTCAATAAGATAATATTTTTAAAAAAATGTTACCATTTACAGTGGTAAAAATAGTGGTTTTACTATATATTATTTGTAACAAGTATTGTAAAACTATCATTTACTTTTTATGTAATGTAAAATTATTATTTTTTTCAAATATTTGAACTTTTTAATGTGACCATGAGCTTGTGTTATGTAACAGTGTTTCTTTTTACTAATTTTTAGTTGGCGATGTAGTTTAACATATTAATATTATTATTAAAATCTGAGTTGCATACAATAACACGATACATCGACTCTGTATCTATGCCTTAGTTCACAAAATTCTCAAAAATATTTAAAAAAATACTATTATTTTATAGATAAATATATCAAATATTAAAGTATTGCCACTTTTGCAAAATATTGCTCAAGGGTAAAAAAATAATTTTACTTATTTGTTTGATGAACGAAGCTAAAGAAAGCCAGTGATCTCATTTGAAATGTGTGAAATCACTGAAATCGGGTGTAATATTTCAATTACAATTTTTGTTAACTAACCTGAACGCTTCTGGATCATCCGGTGACACACCTCCAAAACCGTGTTGGTCTTCTGATACGACCAAATTATTGTTCCTTTTATGATTCATATTGTTAGGAGACATATTATGTGGTCCTGGACTCGTTCTCGGTGATGCATCGTTTGGGGTACCATCTCTCCGTGTTCGGATTGCACTGGTATTTTTAAAATGGTCATCTGTTTGGTTTTGTGGATGTGTTTGCTGTTGTCGAACGGAGCCTCCGCTGGTATCACTTGCATCGTCCGTCCTCACAGATGCACTATCTTCACGATCACTTCCAGCACCTCCACTTCCACCGCCCCCAGGGGCTCCAGATCCAGGATCATCTTTTAGATGTTCTGCTGCTTCGATTGATTTTCGGTGCATACCTGGGAGATAAGTAAATGATTATTTTAGAGTGGAATCTGGACTATGTAAGGTATTTGATAAGCCCAGAAAGACAAAAAACTCAGTTGTTGTAAAAATGGCACAAACTTTGTAGTCATCCTTCTTATTTCAGAATTTCAAACAATTCAAAATTTTAGATAAAAAATATTCACTAACGTTTATAAATTCTTTATTGCACGCATAGAAATAACTTTGATTATGAAATTAACAAATTTTGTACCGTGCTCGTACTTTCAGAAAATGTATTTTTGGATGCACCATATATTTATTCATTTCTTATTGTATTGTATTCTAACATTATTATGTTTTTTATCAAAATTGATTAATACTGACCTAATAACCATGGAGCTACAGATTCGTTTTCCTTTGCACTCTTTAATATCGTTTCTGGTAAAGGTAATGAATGCCTGACCATGGCTCCATATAATCCATACTCTGCCATAATAGTACTCCGGCCCCAACATTTTTCTGTTTTGCGCCATTTTGCACGACGATTTTGGAACCACACCTGCATAGTGAAAACTCAATAAAGATTTGAATGCAATAAGAAACAACCAGGGGGCAAGAAATTCTACTATTAACTTCCCGTAGGGTAAGTTATTGTAATGGGCCGAAAATCGAAATTGAAATTTTTCACATTTCTCGACGTTTTAAAGGTTTCTGAACATTTTGGCATACCTCAGAAAAAATGGATGTGTGTGTGTGTGTGTATGTATGGATACAATACATTTACAATACATTTCTAGTCGCGTTTTGAATGGTTCAAAAAACATTCGATTCCTATTGATAGGGAGATGAGCTGATTAGTTTTTGGCAAAGGCAGGTCCACAGTTACGGAGATGAAGAGCAAAGAGTGCAGATAATAGAAATCGAGTTTTTGAGAGAACGGAGCAACCGATTTGAATGTTCTAAAAAACATGCAATTAGTAATGATTGGGAGAAGTGTTTATCAGATTTTGGCAAAAGCAGGCCCAGCCATTTCGAAGATATGGAGCTAAATGTGCAAAAAATGGCAGTTTTTGAGAGAACTAAGCGTCCGATTTAATTGATTCAAAGAACTTTCTGCTTGTCTTAACAAAATAATTGATTTTGAAAAAAAAAATTGTTTCAACTTTTTTTTTTATTTATTTTTTTTGTATATGAAAAATAATTCAGATTTTATTTTTAATTCTGACAATTGTTCTAATAAATTTTAAACAAATAATTTTAACTTTGCAATTCAGTTTATATAATTCTTATAAATATTAGACAATGTTACAATATTTATAATAATCTATTTGAAAACATTCAGTATTCCACGAACATTTCATTACGGTACGGGAAGTTCCAGCAATTTGCCTTAAGGCACGATGCGACACACCCCACTAGTTTTATGTTTAATTTTAAAGACATTTCACAAAATAATTTATTTCGTGAAGCTAAACTGTTTGATCAATACAATACATTTTAATTTTAAGGTGAACAACAAATTCGGGAATCATAATCATAAACATGATGAGAAAAATTCGAACACTAGAATAGTTAGTGATGTCATATATCCAGCTTTAGTAGTTATTTCTACTTAAGTTATTACATTCAACCTCATTGTTTCTTGAAATACAATTAATACAAATAATGTACATACAACTTCTATTTGATATACGCATCTTATGGTCAAATATTTTACACAAGATATTAATGTATACAATCCTCGTATAGAATTTTGTCAGATGAATTTATCATGAGAGTTCGAATAACTATTAATTTAATTTATTTCTTGTAATATTGCTTTTTTAAACTTATTTTACTTTTTCATTTGCTCTTTTATTATTTTTTTCCACCTGGCCAATGTAGAGAATGATGTGGTCCCTTTTACCCATACCATATGTTAAGGGATGAAACACTGTTGAATTTAACTTAAAATTAACAATACAATGGAGATTTTAAATAACTATTTAAGTATCGTAAACTAAACAATAGTGCTTGAAACCAAAAAAAAACTAAAAACAGAAAAAAAAAACTTTGATCAAAATTTTGACATTGTGGCTGTCCATCTCCTGATAGTAACATCATAAGAATGTATGTAATGGCTGGTTAAACATCTTTTGTCTTCTACATTAAAATAGTATCGGTAAAAATGTTATACTTGTTTTACGCACGGAACTTCAAACTCCGCTCTACCCTATCACGAAAAATTGTAGTAGATCCTAGAAGTAAAATTTGCAAACTTGTACACATTTCAGAAAATCTGATCCAAATTGCTATTAATTTATTATTATTATCATATTAAATTGATCAAGATTCAATATTAGATATTCTATTATTTTTGCCTGTGTCAAATATAGGACTTTATCGCTTTTATAAGTGGCTTAACATAGGTCTTATTCGGAACATAAAGCGCGTTAGTATTTCAATTAGACAAGCACATAATTCCCCAACACTTTTATCAAGTTGATAACTCAGGGTGCAGATGTAGTGTTGTCGATAATACACAAAAAGCAGAACCCTCAAAATATTGTTTCAGTTTAACAATTTTGAATAAGAATGAAAATTTCTGTGGAAACATCTATATTTTCAGTGCCAGAGGGAAAATAGATCCATGGTCGTATTTTTAATATTAGAAGTAATATTAATTGTGTAATAAGGGATTTTACGGAAGCAATCGCTACAATGCAAAATAAATAAAATTAAACTAGTGGTGTATGGCATAGCGCTTTAAGGCAAATTGCTGTAACCTCCGGTTCCGTAACGAAATGTTCGAAGAATATTAAATGTTTTCAAATGGATTATTATGAATACTGTAATATCGTCTAAAAATATTTTTTATAATATTTATTTATAAGAATTATATAAACTGAATTACAAAGTTAATTTTTTTTATTTAAAGCATATAAGTGAGCTTTCGAACTCTAGCCATAATTAAAATTAAAATCTGAATTATTTTCGATATACAAAAAAAAAATTGGAACAATTTTCTTTCTAATTTCAAATATTGTTAAAACAAATCTTAATTTATATGTTTTTGGAATATCAGAGTTGGAACTTTTTACCCGCGGACCTTTAGGCTCCACTCTACACTACGTAATTTATATTCATTATTGTCAATATCGAATTTACTAAATTATATTATGAACACACCCAAGTTGATGTGGTATTAAATGAAAATGTGCAGTGTGAATTGTACCCCTTGTCCTTTATGAGCTTCCACCCTTTATTTCTACACATATGTGCGAATAATCGAGCAGTATTGCGGAGTTTATGTTGTTGAATAATTTTCTATAAAAGCACTGAGTTTCGTAAAAACATTTTGATAAACAATAAAATTAGGCATTACAAAACAATTTTATAAAAATCGAAAGATAATTCGAAAATTATAATTTGATTGCATACAAAACTAACGGCATTATACAGCGCTATTTTTGATATGCTTATAAGTACAATCATAGCTGGGCACCGTTAATCAAAGAGTTAACTTCGTTAATCGTTAATCCGCTACAAAAAAAGTTAACTTCGTTAAACGTTAAAGCGTTACATTTCGGAAGAATTAACGCAAGTTAACGTTAATCGTTAATCCGTTAATATGTGTAAAATTACATTTTTATATCGTTGCGTTAGTGAACTTAAAAAACTTATTAGTTTAGGTTCTGGAAGTTAACAGGTTATGAATAAAACAAAATACTTGTATAATTCAAATGTGTAATTTAACCCCTCGCGCGTTTTATGCACACTTCCGTGTGTATAAGGAAAATGGCACAATTATCACATACCGTGATAACGCTATTGGTCAACTTTCCGTTTTTATGATTGCATATTGTTTTTACAAGAATTTTTTTCTAAATAAAGGGAAAGAGTTTTTTTAACTTCCCGTAGGGCAAGTTATAGTAATCGCAAAAAAATCGAAAATGAAAATTTTTGCATTTCTCGACGTTTCAAAGGTTTCTGAATATTTTGGCATACCTTAGAAAAAATGGATGTATGTGTGTTTGTGTATGTATGTGTATTCGGATACAAATTTTCGTCGATTATTTCGGGAACACGGATCAACCGATTTGAATAATTCAAAAAACATTCGATTCGTATTGATAAGAAGACGTGCGATTAGTTTTTGGCAAAGGCAGGTCTAGCCGTTCCGAAGATATGGGGCAAAATTGAGCCAAAAACGGTAACTCAGTTTTTAAGAGAACGGAGCGCCCGATTTTAATAATTCAAAAAACATTTTACTTGTATTGACAATTATGAAGAACTGATCAATTTTTCATGAAGGCAGGTCTAGCGGTTTCGGAGATCTAATGAAAAAAGTAAAAAAAAATGCCATTTGGCGGTCAAAATGATGATTAGACATATGCACATCAAATTATCAGATATTTTATAGAGATTTTAACAATAAGTATAAATTTTATTTACATTCCTATGGGTTCCGTACCAATGTTTATCCTTTAGACAGCGACGCGGCGCTTACGCGCTTTATATTTTGTCTCTATGCAGTCCTAAACCAGTAAAATTGCTTTGAAAAAAAAGTTCAGATCTTCCAAAATATGTCAAAATAAAGAAAACATTTTTTTTTCAAAAAAAAAAACTAATTTTTTGTCCAATAGTTTATAGTTTCTGCATTCCTCTCTACTGCTGTCATACGTTTCCAGCCACATTAACCGAAACTTTGGGTGAAATGCCGCGGCAAGTTGGCACTGTTCATCATTCAGGAGTAGTCCAAATCTTTTCTCTATGCCGTTTATAAGGCATTGGCTAAAGCTGTGCCGTGCGGTAAATAGTAGGCATTGGATTAACGATTAACGGACGTCTCGCATTTTAACGGAAGTTAACGTGCCCGTTAACATTTTTAAAAGTTAACTTAAAAGTTAATCCGTTAATCAAAATGTTAACTTCGTTAATTAACGATTAACGGATTAACGAGTTAATGCCCAGCTATGAGTACAATTTATATTAATCAATTCAAAAAGTAGAATATGCATACGAAGCTCGATCTTCTTTTTTTTGTGAAATCTTTTAATCCATTTTCCTCCACATATGTGTGCTATGTAAAATAGGTAATTTTCAAAATGCGTTCGACGTTTGTCTGAGGCTTGGTAAATTTCGTTCTGTTAATAGGCGTTAATAAATCATTCGAATTTCAATTAACTGCCGGCGAGCCCTGGAATTCGTCGAAGTATGCGTGGACGGATTCCTCAACGCTTTGGGGATGATTCTAGAGGATTAGTCAATTATAATAAAGTCACCCTGATGCCACCTGAATTCCACCGGTGAGGGAAGATCATGAGGCGTGAGGCAGAATACTGAACAAATGCAAAAATTGTGTCAGAGGAGAAAGAGGTCGATTATCGATAATTTTTGAGTGCCAGACATAGGGGTTCGCGTCATTCGATTTGCAACAGATTTTTATTTTAAATGTTTCCAAATTTTATATTGATTTTAAATTGGTATTAAAAATTGGTATTTTCTACTAAAAAACTATTTTCGAATATCTATAATTTCACCGTGAAACCCAAACCAGAATTTAAAAACTGATAAAACCATAGT